TATATATATATATATATATATATATATATATATAAAATATTTAAAAATTGTCTAACCTATAATATGCATTTCATTTAATTGTACTCGTCAAAAATATGATTTATTATGACTAAATCAACTGAATACATAAAGTAAACAAAATTGTAAAGGATAAATAGGGTATTTATTGCAGTTTTACAGTGCAATAAATGTTTAGAAATTATCAGTTGGCATCAGTATATAGATCTTTCTAATGAATATATTTGCATATTTAATGAAACACTTTTCAATAACCTAAATAATGGTACTTGTAATGGATAATATCATGCTTGAAAAAACACTGCCTTATGAAAGCCAAACAAATGAATTCAATCGGAGTGGTGCATATTGCATTAACATGTTTACCCCTCAAGCAAATTTTAAGTCATTTTATTTAATACTGGATCTCGCCACATGAAAATGCCACAATGCAACGCTGATACTAAAAATCCCACCTGACTGGAAATGAGATCCTCACACACAGACAGCGCCATCTGAATCGCATTCGCTTTGTGAGTGACAGAGATGGCGGTCAACTTGAATTTATCCCTTCCGTACACCTGGTTCGCCTGAGTGACCGCATCCTTGAACACCTGCTCGTATCTCTTCTGGCTCAGGACGGCCCCGATGTTCACAATCTTGGGCTCGCAGCCGCCCCGCACGCAGGAGCAGGAGAATAACGCGGCCAGCAGAAGCAGACGCATCGTGTGGAGGGCCAGAAGTGCGCACGGAGAGTCCCAGCGTCTTCTCTTCTTAGTGCTGCCGGAGGCTCTTGTTTGAGCTATTCGCTTGTTAAGAATGAAGGCAATGTCCAGTGTGGCAGTTTTAGACTTAAAAAATCCCAGGTACGAAATTCACACACACTGCGGCGATCTGTTCATGGTGCCCGGTTCAATTAGGCGATGGCATCTGAGAGAAGCGGCATTCACTGCAGCCTTTCTCTTAATTCCCCCTGTTAAGTCAGGCTGCAGACAGGCAGAGCAAACACTACATGAAGGCTGGCAGCAGAAATCAGTGATGCGTCTCTGCGCGTCGGCTGTTGTTCTGCGGCGGAGCGCTGTCCTTGGTGCTGACAGCTGTGCGCGCTCTTTTACGCGCGCCCCCGCACCTCCTCCAGTTTTTCGCGTTGGCGTTCCGCTAGAATTAAAACTGCTCCGATGTCACAAACAATCCAAGCGTGAAGAATTGTTGTTCCATTTGGAGCGAATTGTTCTATTTTTTTTTTTTTTTTAAATAAACGGGTAGAAAGAAACGTATGGTTTTAAAAGGTCGACCATTTACCGACACATTCCAATGTTTCTAACGCATTTAATCTCTCCTATTCCCACCGCATTTTGACAATTTTCTCGAATTGAATGGGTCTTATAACAGTTGCTGATGTACAGATAGTTCTCAACTGTAAATGAAATGGATTTAATGTGAACGTTTTTTTACATGAACAGAATTTTTCCTTCCTGAAAGATCAAATGAAGGTGAAATATGTCATAATACAAATATGGCGATTATATTTAGTCATATTTAAAGGTTCTGTTATTAATGTAGTAAAATGACATAAACAAAATTGGTAGAATTAGTCCCAATGTAGCTAAACATGCTATTGATCAAATTTGTGGAAGGCCTGTTTTGAATAACTGATTTATTCACATTATAAAACTATAGATCTCAAAGTGTTACATTAAATGAGTCAAAAATGACATTTTTATTGGATTATATTGTTACTCTGCAATCTATTGAGTATAATTGAGCAACTTTGCCTCAAGTTTTCTATTTGTAGCAACTGTGTCCCATAAAACACATAATTTCATTACTTTGAATCATTACTTAAATCTTTGTTCTATTCAAGAAGTAAAATTCATGTGCTTATTCAAAAACTGTGGGATTAAATGGTTACAAAACATGTATAAAGGGTTAAGGCATGGTCAAATTGAGATATTTCCTTATATTCTTGCCCAAGACAGTGTTTAAGCCAAATAACATGTAGATAAAGTGTGCTGCTAGAAGACAGGCCCTGATGCACTCTTAAAAATGAAAGGTTCAGCAAAGAAACCTCTTGTAAAGAACAGTTGTTAGTTGTATTTAGATCACTGTATTGGTTTTTTTAAAGCACCAATGCATAGAAGTTCTCCTTGACTCTAAAAACCTTTTTGGCTCTATTTCAAACCTTTATTTTCAGCTCACCTGCTTCTAGCATAGCATTCTTCCACCCAAAATGACTGACTTAAGACAGCTAAATGTTACCACCGATGCTCAAAGTTGTATTTTAAGGACTGGTGTTCAATTATGTAAGCAGCACACCATCTATATTTCATCATTTTCAATCATGAAATCACTTGCTCTGTCTCTCAAACCTAGACTTTAAAAGTAATTACTTAAAGTGGCAGGTCTGAGAGGTCTTCACGGTTCTCTGAGCATCTCCTGCTTTAAGTGCTGTGTGTTTTCAAATGGCAGCTGTGCAAAACCTTTAATTTGTGCTTTATTTCAAAGATGCATGTCAAAGCTCCAGACAAGAGCAGTGCTTTGAAAAAAAGTGTACTGCTCGCTTGTGGGGAAGAAAGGGTAGCGATTTCTATGCAGGTGCATGTGCTGAGCAGCATTATGCACTGGTTGGCACATAAGGACAAAAGGGGAAAAACGGTTACCAAGGAAACAAGCCTCTCTCCTGAAGTGTGAAGTTTCAAAGTATTCACATGTAGGCATTTTGTACGCGCTGGCAACGCAGGGTGTTAAGTGACAGTACGCCTTATAAACATGCACCACAAAACACGTGAACACCATGAATGCTTAATGTTGGCATATTAATATGCAGGTTTTCTTGTACATATGCATTTGGCCTTGCTTTGTGTTGTGATTTTGTCAGACTCCGCTCATTGTGATTTGATTTAATTTTCCCATGTTGGAGAACCTGCAGTCGAAACCCTATTAACATTTCATTATCCGTGGGAAATAATCCCTCTACATGTGAATGTCACAGTCTGATATGAAGAGGGGATTTGTAAATTAGGTCACAATTGATATAGTTATGCCTTCGACTTTAAATAATGTATCACACGCCTCAGGGGGGGCATCTTTATATAGCTGCATGGTTTTATTTACTTGTATTATAAAGTCGAATCATAGTCTGTTGCACAGAAGAATCATTAGAAATATAAAGCAAGCTTATTTAATTATGGATGTTATTATCTCAAGAATGAGTTATAAGTATTCCGTTTATGTTTTTAGGTAGCGTAAAGTGTGAGTTTAGCAGTGAATGCGCTGGCAGTGGCGCGTGCTACTTCACTGTCTGAGGTGTTGTTATACTCGGATGTCTCTCGCTTGCTGGGAGCCACACAAAAGGCTGACCAACAAGCAAGGTTCTCACTGGCCTCGGTCGTGTTCAGCTCCCTCCCCCCCACTCCCACATCTCTGCACATCAATACAGCTGGGCCAGCCTGCACTGCAGCCGTTATATAATGACGCTCCTGCCAACACACACACACACACACACACACACACTCTCTCTCATAGGGACAGACCATTTACCAAAGAACAGTTAGGACTAATTAAGAGATGACACATCTCTAATATGTGTGTGTGCATGTGTGGCAATAGAAGCAGAAAAGGAAAAGATAAGGCGATACTTAAGGTCCAGGGGATTTTGTAAGATCTTAAATATGTTATCAGAAAAAATTATTTGTTTAAGTGTTAATAAATTGTAATATGTGCCATCTCAAGCTAAATTAACCATTTTTTATCTATGTAATGTAATACACACACACACACATATATATATATGTATATGTATATATATGTTTATGTGTGTGTGTATATATATATATATATATATATGTATATGTAT